TCGCCATCCTCCGCGAGCCCTCAAGAAGGAAAAACTGTGAGAAAGGGACTGGGACTACACACCGACTTTGAGCACCTCACACGTTGACATGGGAACTTCGTGACGGAAACCTGCTCTGGTGACTCTAGTGAACAACTCAAGGGCGTTTGAAGTCTGACCGTCAGTGTCTGCATCGAGCAGCCTGGGTGAAATGCAGATCCCGCCTGACCGTGGCCTGAACTCGCATGCAGCGTCGGGGAGCTTGAGGTTAGACCAGCACACGACGTGCACAACAGCCGGGGAGTTCGGCCATGTCAATATAAAGGGAACCCGACAGCACCCATAGCGCACTTTGTCCGTGCTGAGAGTTGAGGTGTGCCAACGGCGAGAGAGCAGCCTTGAACCGCTTCAAGCCGTGACGAGCCTGACGAAAGCTGTACACTTTGGGGGGACCCTCCAAACAAGCGTCCCAATGTGGCGAGGTCTCCGGTGATTTTGCGGCTGCGGAGAAAGCAAGCTCCCCCGCGCCACCCCTGGGACCTCTCCTGCTGGGCTGCATGCCCTACAATCCGTATGGCATGGGGACCCAGATGGTTAGAAGAGAGACTGTAGCATCTGTAATGGATGCTGTCAATGTTTCAAGCACCTAGAACAATCCGTTCGGGCGCACGGCTAACACTGCAGCAGGAAAAAAAATCACTAAATCCTCTCTGGCCTTCGCCGCACTTCTCCAGAAGCAAGAATGGAAAGTGAGGTCTTGGGACGACTGTCGACTGCTAGGTTGCTGTTTGCCACTCTTGCTTTCGAGACGTGAAAGACCCGGCAAAAGGACTACCCCTCGTGTGAGGCAGGTGCTCGCGACTGCTTGGCAGTTGCCGGAGCATGTTGTCCCTCAAACCCTTCCATAAGTCTTAGCTCATTTCTGTGCCTGCATCTGGAGCTTGTAGTACACTCCCTTCAAGGCCATCAGCTCTTCGTGGTTTCCCTTCTCCACGACGCGGCCGTCGGCATTCACTAGAATGACGTCGCAGCCTTGGATGGTGGATAAGCGGTGCGCGATCGCGAAGGAGGTGCGCCCCTCGCGCGCTGCCTCCAATGCCTTCTGGACGATCGCCTCGCTCTGGGTGTCAAGGGCACTGGTGGCCTCGTCCAGCAGCATCACCGGCGGATTGCGGATCAAAGCCCTGCAGATCGCCACGCGCTGCTTCTGGCCACCAGAGAGGCGGCTCCCCCGGGGCCCGACCTCTGTCTCCAAGCCCTTGTTGCCGTTCTTGTATAAGAACGCCAGGTTCGACATCTTCTCACACTGGCTCACATACTCGTCGCTCACCGTCTCCCCATCATCCAGGCCGTACATGATGTTGGCCCGCACGGTGGTGTTGAAGAGGATGGGCTCCTGCCCGACAAAGCCAATCTGACGACGCCACCACCGGATGTTCACGGAATTCAGCGCCACGCGGTCCGCACCGATGAAGACCTGGCCTTCCTGAGGATCATAGAAGCGCTGGATCAAGGACATCACTGTGCTCTTGCCACCACCAGATGGACCCACCAGGCCCACAGACTGTCCCTGAGAGATGCTGAAGGTGATGCCCTTGAGTACCTGGACCTCTGGGCGGAAAGGGTAGAAGAACTTCACGTCTCGGAACTCAATCTGCCCAGCCTCCAGCTGCTTGGGAGTGTCGCCAGTTGGCTCCAAGCCATCAATCGCTGAGATGCGATCCATAAGCTGGAACATGTCGTGGCAGGCAACCTTCGCCTTCGTGGCGTCGCCTACCATCACGGCAGCCTGGCCAGCTCCCATGCCTCTGCGCGGGCTCGGCCAGCGGACACAGCAGCTGTAGGAAACAAATGTTATTTGGAACGGGATCGGAACTGTCCTATTTTAACGCGTTGCTCTCTACGCAGTCGGCATCACAGCGACGAACATCGACGAGCGAGTCGACTTCTACCGGACATCACTACGGCCATTGATCACGCGATGTGCAAACGTGCGAAGTTTGAAGCCTGAGCCCCGGCCTGCGTAGAAGATGCCCATGAAAGCCATCATCACGCCCTCGAAGTCTGCGATGCCTTCTTTGATCAGGATCGAAGCGACGTAGAAGCCTCCTGCCATGATGAAGAACATGATGCCATTGGAGATGCCGAACCCCAATCCGGCGAGGATGTTGCGCCTCCACATGCCGACCAAGGACTTCTCGACCCAGCTCACATACATGCCTACGAGGCCCTTCTCCACACCCATTGCCTGCACCGTGCGAGCGTTCATCACCGAGTCCACCACAATCTGGTTGGCATTGGTGATGTTCTCGTTCTCGTTCTTTGAGGCACCGAGCAGCACGAGCATCTGAATGGCCTGCGCTGCGATCATGATCGGGATGGAGCCCAGCATCACCAGGGACATCTCCCAGCAGTAGACGAAAGCAATCACCAGGCCTACCACCAAGGAGCTCATGGCCGCGGCCTTGGCCTGCACGGACTTGCACAAGGTCGTCACGCGGAAGGCCCACAGCTCCAAAGCTTTGGACAGCATGCCGGGGGTGTTGGCCGGATCATCGTGGAAGCCCACCTGAGCTCTACGGAATTCTAGGAAGCTCGACACGAACCGACACGCCGAACTTTTCACATCGAACCTCTTCTTAGCTCCCCCCGGCCCGCCTCCTGACGGAACATGCCCGTGAGGATCGCCACGCGAAGGCGTTGTGTCATGGCCTCGCCAAGGATGGAGAAGCAGCCGTGGGAGACCGTGGACCCGATGAAGGCACTGACGCCGATGATCACGAAAGTCAAGGCCATCATTTCCAAGTCGGCCCGCATCTCCTCCTTGTCTGTCTTGAAGAAGCCACTCATCGACCCGACCAACGCAATCGTGCACACCGGCATCGCGGAGCCGTCGACCATGGCACCAAGGATGGCAGGAATGAAGAAAGGCCACTCCGGTCTGTTGTAGCTCAGCAGTCGTCGCATGGGAACCTTGTAATTTTTCAAAACCTCTTTCTCGCGATTCGCTTCTGCATCCTTCTCCCGCTTCACGCGCTGGGTCTCCGACTCGCCGGAATTCGTGGAGGAGCGCCGCACGACGTTCTGCGCAGTGTGGTCATTGCTGATGGCGGCCGCATCCTTCTCTTCATCCTCTGCTTTGTGGGAGGATTCCTGTGCAGCAACCAGGGCATAGTAAGTGCCCTTCTTTTCCATCAGGGAAGCATGATTTCCATGCTCCACCAAGGTTCCGCGGCTCAACACGTAAATGAGGTCAGAGTTGCGCACCGTACTGAGGCGGTGGGCAATGCTCACAATCCCCAAGCCATCGGCCGTGTTCGCGCTGATGCTGTCGATGGTGGCCTGGATCATCTTCTCGGAGGTGTTGTCAAGAGCGCTGGTCGCCTCGTCCAAGAAGAGGAAGGACGCTTTCTTCAGCAAGGCCCTGGCAATTGCGATGCGTTGCTTCTGACCTCCGGACAGCTGGCCGCCACCCGACCCAACAAAAGTGTTGTATTTCTCTGGCAAATTATCAACAAAGCCCAGCTGAGCGTCGTTGCAGGCCTTCACGAAGTCCTCCTTGCTGGCGGAAGGGTTGCCTTGCATGATGTTGTGTCGGATGGAGCTGGCAAAAAGAACGGGCTCCTGGCCCACATAGCCGATGCAGCGGCGCAAGGCCGAGATCTTGAAGCTTGTCATGTTCTGGCCGTTCACCAGTACAGACCCGGAGTCCGGGTCGTAGAAACGCTCCAACAAAGCCATCACCGTGGACTTCCCCGAGCCGGACTCACCGACCACGGCGACCTTCTGCCCGCGCTGGATGCTAAGGGACAGGCCGTTCAGGACCTTCACATCGGGGCGAGCCGGATAGGTGAAGTGCACATTCTCGAACTCGAACTTCTCGATTTTGCTGATGTCCTCGCGCTTGTCCTCCACGCGGCATTGGATGTCGGGCTTGTTCTCCAGGGCGCGGAAGAAGCGACCGGCTGCCGTCTGAGCTGCCTTCATGGCCTTGAGGCTTGGATCCAAGTTGCCAATCATGAAGCTTCCAATGAAAATGCAGAAGAAGATGGCCATGATCGTGCCGGGCTCCCATTCCTTTCCGGTGGCTGGGTTCAACTCCTCGTTGTATTTCAGGGTCATGCCGAACCAGAAGGCCAAGCCATATCCCAAGAAGATGATCATCATGGTGTAACCCATGCCCGCACCGACCTTGAAGCCATTCTTCACCCCGCCACGGCGCGTCTCCACCAGGGCAGCAGAGAACTTCTTCAGTTCGCGGTGCTCGCCGCCGAAGGCGACTACGGTTCTCATGGCATTCAAGCACTCCTCCACCACGGCCGAAGCCTTGGCGTACCAGCTCTGCGACTCGTTCTGGATCTCCTGGACGGCTTTTCCCATGAAGGCGGCGCCGACGCCCATGAAGGGCAGAATGGAGCACATCACCAATGCAATGAGCCAACCCATTCCGAAGGCACAGCCGAAGCCGCCAAGGAAGGCGGAAATGGCCATCACCCCGTTTCCGAATTTGTCGCCGAAAGCATCCTGGATCTTCTCCAGGTCGTCGTTGATCTCGGCAGGCAGGGCCGCGACCTCCTTGGTGTCGAACCAGCTGACGTCCTGGTGCAGCACCGTGTCGAAGTAGAGCACTCGGTACTTGAAGGCCTGCTTCTCAGCGAAGATCTTGAAGCAGGCTCCCTGCAAGAAGGCTGCGAAGGTCGCGCCGACGCCCACGAGCATCATGGTGATGCACAGCTCCTCCATCTGGCTCATCATGCCATCCATAGCACCCAACATCTGCTCCGGCGTGAAGGACTCCGCACCTCCCGTCGCCTCGCCCATGCCATCGATGAGGTCCCCGAAAACGATGCACAGCAAGGGCTGGGACAGGCCGTTCCCAATGGCACCCAAGCATCCGACGAGCAGCACGACGACTTCGACGAAGTCCATCATAGAGAAAAGCTTGCAGAGAGAGGCAGCTGGGATCTTGTTCTTGGTCTGCACCTCCTCCGTCTCGACTTTGGCTTCGACCTGGACCATCTCATCGTCGGCATCATCTGCCGGGTTGCTCGCCATCCTCCGCGAGCCCTCAAGA